GAACCTGAACCCAGGGGCAGGGGACCCGATAATGATTCCAAGGGTGTTAACGACACTCAGTGATCATGGGCGATGTCTCCCAGGAAGAACTCTCATTGGTTGACAAGAGAAACCTGAGTGGCCTGGTGGCATCTCTGTCCCAGAGTTGTTCCATCAGAGTGTTGTGAGTCCAAGGAGGGACACCAGATAAGATCAGTCTGTGAGCCCACCTCCCCTGGCCTGATGGAATCCTCCAGGGTGCAGTCCCCAGCCCCCTCCTCCAAAATGCCCTCCTGAATCACCCCGCCCCTTGTGCCTGTCCCCAGCGCCTTGTGAGTGCCAAGGCTTTTTTAGCATGCCAGCCCCCGGGAGGCAGCGCAGAGCAGCAGTTGCACAAACATGGTCTTGATTCAGCGTTTGGACTCTGCCTCTCTCACACCAAGCTATGTGACCCTGAGAAAGCCACAACCTCTCTCTGAGCTGTACCTCTTTTCCTGTAATGGGCACAGCTTCTGTTGGTGTGCAGGGTTGCAGGGAAAACTTAATGGGCATGAACCCCACCCCCAGGATCACCTCACCTCCCCTGGTCTCCATCACACCCCACTCCGCCATATCCCAGACCTCTCAACCTCCTTTCTGGCCTCTGGCCCCCAGGCCCTTGTGGGGTCATCCCCACCCAGCTGACAGGTTCACTGCTTAGAAACGAGCATCGGATCATAGCATTTCCCTGCTGAACTCTGAAGGGCGCCCCACCACCAGAACACCATCCGTGGGTCCCCCCTCTGCCTTCTCCACCCGCCCTCTGTCTCCTCAGCCCTCCTGGGAAGCCAGCCATCTTCTGGTCCTGCCAGGTTTGTTCCTGCCTCAGGGCCACTGCACTGGAGCTCCTTCCACCTAGGATGTCCTTTCTCAGCGGTGTCTCAAGCTCAGGGCCACCTGGTTCCAGAAACTTCCTCGACCCTCTCATCTGCAGCGGTGTCCCCCCGCCCCCCGAGAGCACTCTCTTCCCCGCCCCCTGCTCTGCATTCATTTCACTCTCAGAACTCATTCTCTGTGTCCATCTGTGTGCTGGTCTATTGTCTCTCGCCCAGCAGCCCATGAATCCCACAAGGACGGGGAGCGTGTCCATCTTATTCCCTGCTGTGTCCTCAGGGCCCGGATGGAGTCCAGCCCAGTTGGTGCCCAGAGAGCAAGAGAGCTGACAAAGGACAGTCGGTAAAGGGTTCCTTTCAGTTATTGTGTGCATGTCGTGTGGGTTCCTATACGCCCACCAGTCAGTTCCCTTCTTCCTTCACGACCAGTGCCGGTAGGCGTGCCCCTTTCAGCAGCCCAGAACCACCCGGGGTCAGTCACCAGAGGATATTTAGCCTCTGTTAGGCTGGCTCTCTGACTTGGGTCTGGGGCCCAATGACATGCACTCCACTGATCCTGTTATAAGCAGGCATCACTCACTCTCTTGATAGGGAAATGTGAGAATAAGATTGAAGCCGACTGGGACTTCCCTGGAGGTCCACTGGTTAAGATTGATGCTTCCTGTGTTCTATCCATGGTTGGGGAACTAAGATACCACATGCCACACAGCGTGGCCAAAAAAAAAAAAAAATTGAAGCAGAAGACTATCAGGGGTTAGAGGCAGCTGGTAGCCCCTTTTCAGGCAAGAGCCAGACCCTGACTTGGGCTGAGGCAAGGGGGAAGGGGATAGGACTCTGTTGGCCAGGCCAGTAGCTCCAGAGACCTTAGCAAGCAGGGACACAAGGGGATAAAACCAGTATTCCAGAACAGCTCACCTGAAAGCTACCCCCACCCCAGCTGCCCATCCTTGCCGCCTCACATCGCAGTGCATGGGCAAGGGGGCGGTCGGGATCCTGCAGCCTGAGCTCTGCTCTGGGCCTCACCCCCTCAGCCACCCCCTTGCCTGCTCTGGGCTTGTCTCCTCATTTGTGGAGTATGGGTAGTATTTTGTTGTCTAGTCGCCCAGTTGTGTTCAACACTTTGCAACCCCGTGGACTGTAGCCTGCCAGTCTCCTCTGTCCATGGACTTCTCTAGGCAAGAATACTGGAGTGGGTTGCCATTTCCTTCTCCAGGGGCTCTTCCCCAACCAGAGATTGAAGCTAGGTTTCCTGGATTGGCAGGCGGATTCTTTACCGCTGAGCCACCAGGGTAATATTTAGGCCCACTCTAACCCTGTGGACACCCTGACGTCTCTCCTCTGTGGACAGCAAAGGGCTTCCTTCCACTCTAGCACTGTCTGGCCCATGGTGCCAGGTAAGCAAGAGCCTGCCTTTGGCCCCTCTGTGTCTACTGCCTGTTCACTGGATGACTCAGATCTGGGGCTGGAGCAGACACAGGGGTCATCTCAGGCATTCTGGGAGTCACAAAGGAGCTGGGATCTAGGCTGAAACAATGAGAAGCCACAGACATCCCTGGCAGGGCCATGGTGCCCTGGACGAGGTGTGTTGCCAGGCCCTGCAGCCAGCAATGGAGAAGGTGCCAGGCGGGACACGCGGACCTGGTAAAGATAGCCCTCACCCACTTCTTGCTCACTCTCACCCACTGGCAGCTCCATTCTTTCCCACCCCTCTCTCTGTACCCCCAGGGTTCTACACCTCCAGAGTTCTTTATTTTTATCCTGTCCCGCCTCATCCTTGTCATCAACGTCACTCCTCACACCTTCCTGTCTCCAATCTGCTGATGTCTGCCTCTTCAAATCTGCAACTTTTAATTGTCTAAGGGCTAAGAAAATGGAAAGGTTAGAACTATTTCTGAAATGAGGGCTGAAAGGCCATGAGTGGGCTTCAGAGGTACTTTCCTGTGAGGGACTCAGTGGTGTAGAAAGTTTCAGCACAGAGTAGGATTCCAGGTGCTGAAGTGCTCCAAAGGCAGACCATCAGATAATGGAGAGTGTTTTCATCTTACTTGCTCTTTCACCTACTTCTGGTATGCAGGACCCTGATTGAAAGAGTCCCCAAACCCCAGTCAGCCTAGGACAGGACGCCATCAGATCCATCTCAGGCCAGACCCTGTGGCCAGCCACTATCCCCAGTCAACCATTCTGCCCCGCTGCGCAGAATGACTTCCCTAGGCTCCTTGTGATCAGGGATATAAGCTCCCCAGTCATGCCCTGGTGCCTTGGCAAGCCCTGTACCTTCTCCTTGGGGTGATCCAGCCTGACTTCTCTGTTAGGCCTCGTCATCTCCAAAGACGTTGCCCCCCAGGAGTGGTCCACAGCACCTGTACCGCTAGTGTTTTCCACCTACGTTTAGTTGGCATCTCCTGTTCACACATCTTTTAGGTCTGATGCTCCTCTGCTAACCTCCCCCACCTGGCACTGGGCAGTGACCCTGCAGGCAGTCCCACTAGTGACCCTGCATCCCACCCTCCAAGGGGAAAAGAGGGAATGAGTGGACAAGGGCTTCTCCCTACCCCTTCCACTATAAAACTAACATCATGGTATCTGGTCCCATCACTTCATGGCAAATAGAAGGGGAAAAGGTGGAAGCAGTGACAGATGTCCTCTTCTTGAGCTCTAAAATCACTGTGGATGGTGACTGCAGCCATGAAATTAGAAGACAATTGCTTCTTGGCAGGAAAGCTATGACAAACCTAGACAGTGTGTTAAAAAGCAAAGACATCATGTTGATGACAATAGTCATATAGTCCATATAGTCAAGGTTATGGTCTTTCCATTAGGAGAAGGCAATGGCAGCCCACTCCAGTACTCGTGTCTGGAGAATCCCATGGATGGAGAAGCCTGGTGGGCTGCAGTTCATGGGGTCGCTATGAGTCGGACACGACTGTGCGACTTCACTGTCACTTTTCACTTTCATGCATTGGAGAAGGAAATGGCAACCCACTCCAGTATTCTTGCCTGGAGAATCCCAGGGACGGGGGAGCCTGGTGGGCTGCCGTCTATGGGGTCGCACAGAGCCGGACACGACTGAAGCGACTTAGCAGCAGCAGCAGCAGCAGCATGGTCTTTTCATCAGTCATATACAGATGTGACAGCTGGAGAGTAAAGAAAGCAAAGCGTGGAAGAATTTAGGCTTGCTAACTGTAGTGCTAGAGAAGACTCTTGAGAGTCCCTTGGAAAGCAAGGGGATCAAACCGGTCAATCTTAAATGAAATCAACTCTGAATACTCTCTGGAAGGGCTATTGCTAAAGCTGAAGCATCCAATACTTTGGCCACATGATGTGAACAGCCCTGACTCACTGGAAAAGACCCTGATGCTGGGAAAGATTAAGAGCAGAAGAAGAGGATGACAGAGGATGAGATGGTTGGATGGCATAACCAATTCAGTGGGCATGAACTCGGACAAACTCTGGGAGATGGTGAGGGACAGGGAAGCCTGGTGTGCTGCAGTCCATGGGGTCATGAAGAGTTGGACATGATTTAGTGACTAAACAACAACAATAACAACCCTTTCCACTTTTCACTGGGTGCCCTAGCAGGGCAGGCTCAGCCACACAGGTCTTTGGGCCTCTGCTACCCAGATGTAAAGTGGGGGATGCTGACAGTAGATAGAAGGGGACAAACGGTATATGACTCAAAAAAAAAGGCCCCTCTGAGGGCTCCATACATGAAAGGTACAATTTTATTGTCATTACAGAAAAAGCAGTGAAAATAAAAAGACTACCAAACTGTTTAAAGTAATAATTATTTTATAAAGTCTCATCGGATATGGAATTTCGTTCCCTCTCTTGAGTGAACGCATGTTCCTGGGCAGGAAGCAGACCCAGCAGAGCTGGAGCAGTGGCCCTCCAACGACCATGCCACTCCCTGGCCCGGCCCCCGACTTGTGCAGGGCCTGCGCCCCGGCGAGACCAGCTCTACGCAGACAGGGCTCGGCCCCGGAGGGGGTGAGTGGCAGGCTCTGCTGGGCGCTAACATGTTGGCTCCATGTTCTTGTTTATTCACCCATGCTCCCAAAACAGGGCTGGAGGCCAAGGAGAAGGACTGCTTCTCTGGTGGACGGGTTAGTGCCAGGACATGCAGGACCACCTTGGGTCCAGCAGCGCATCTCAGGGTGGGAGGAACCAGAGAAGCTGGGGCCAGTCTGGGGCCTCTGGAGTGCTCAGGGCAGAGAGGAGGGGTCGGCTCACCCCAAGACCAACCCAGGGAGAATAAATAAATAAATACTTTATAACTGTGCTGTCCCCCAGTTTGGTCTGTGCCCCTGCCTGGGGACTGTTACCATCAACCTCGGTTCCTCTGGCTGATATGCCCCTGAGACAGAGGCTGGCTAGCTGGAAGGAAGGGACCCGCCCCACCCTGAGGATGGAGAAACCAGGGTTGGCCAAGTCTACGCAGTTCAGGAGTCCGCAGCAGGTGAGTGGGGGACTGGGCCCAGCCCACAGGGTTGAGACCTGCCAGTGCCCTCTCTTTTGACACATATGGCCCACCACAATGGAGTCATGTGGGAGCGGGGGGGCGCTGACCTCCACATCGTGTAACACTTTCCCTGACCCCTCACCCCCAGCCTTGTTCCTGCGGACCATTCCTGGTCTAGCTGCCAGATTTGCACAGGCACCAGGATGACTGGAGGAGGGGTCGTGGGAGCCCAAGTCCAGCTGGGGCCCATGTCCCCTCCAGGGTCCAGCTGGATGAGGCCAGGCGGCTGCTCGGCCGGGTCAGAGCTGGAAGGGGTATTGTCGGAGGTAGTCAGCCATGCGGCGGGGGAGCGGCAGGCAGTCCACGTCAGCCACCAGACGGTTGATGACAAGGCGGCACAGGTGCTGCAGGCTTCGGGTGCTGCTCCTGCGCACAAAGGGCTGCACCAGTTTCAGGTGAACGGCCGTGGTGGGCAGGGCTGGGTCACCAGGCACATCTTCCTTCGGGGTGGGCAGGGCCGGCGTGGTGGCAAGGTCGGGACTGTCACTCCGGGTGTCTGAGGCACAGGAGGCCACGTAGTGCTGGACCAGGCTCACCACATCTGGGAAAGCCAGGATGCGTGGCCTGGACAGGCAGTTGGAGTCCAGGCGGAAGCTAGAGTCGGCGTACTCAATGCGCACGTTGGTGGGCCCGCGGGTGGTCTTGACGGACAGTGTGAACAGGTAGCTGGGGTGGGTGCTGTCACGTACCAGGAAGGTGCCCTCTGGCATCTTCTGCAGGTGTTGCCGGGCCTCACTGGCCGTAATGGAACCCCAATACCAGCCTAGGCAAGTGGAGAGGAGAGTAACCAACTGGTCACAGTGGAAAGTAGCTAGGTGCATCAACCCAGAGCACAGCAGGGTTCAGCCTCTTGTCATCACCCCTCCCTGGGGAGGGCTGGAGCCCTTCCCTCCCGTCAAACTCTTCTGGCCAGAGGCTTGCCTCTCAAATGAGACTCAACAGGCAGGCTAATCTTCCCCCGTCAGACTTCCCAGGACAACTCCTCCTCCCTCCTCAGACTCACCAGATTCCCGAAGGTAGGAGAAGGTCTTGGCTATGCACAGCAGGTCCTCCTCGGGGTCCACCACCTTGGTCTCCCTCTCTGGCTGGGCTGGGGACTCCTCTCCTGCCTCCTCCAGGAAGGCGCCAGCAGGCAGAGGCTGCATAACTGGTTGGGGCAGCTCCAGGGACCGGGCCCACAGGGGCCGCTGCCCAATCTGCTCCACGGCCAGCAAAGGACAAGGTCTAGAAGGAGGTGCGTGGGCAGTGGGTGGAGGCCCTGTGCTCTCTCCATTTCCAGAGATCCCCTCTGCCCCAGATGGCTACATGACCTTTGGCCAGTCTATCTCACTGTGAGCCCGTTTCCCCTCTGCTCACTCATGAGACCAATACTCTACCTTCCGCTTGTCAGCACAAAAGGCCCCCTTGATGACCTCTCCCACATATGAACCCTCTTCTGAAAGAGACTTTCCCACCCTCCTGCATTTATCAAAGAGCAATTATAGTTGGACCCAGTATCCATGGGGGGATGGTTCCAGGAAATGGAACCTGTGGATGCTTGAGTCCCTTATATGAATGGTGCAGTACAATGAATACATGGGCCCTCTGTATCCCCAGGTTTCACATCTGCAGGGACAAAGGGCCATCTGTAATCTCTCTTCTGTTTTGTACCAACCAAATCCATAAATCATTCCCTGTAGGCATCTCTAGTTCACAGTGGCCAGTTGGGGTTCCCACCTCAGACAGGATCCAGTGCAAAGAGGCCCCACAATGGTGCCCTCCTGGCAGAGGTGGCTGATTAAATGCATGGTACTGGTTGAGCCAAGGGATGGGTCACATGTTACCTCACCATGGACAACAGTGTCTGTCAGAGGGAACTTGGTCTACACTGGCCAGGCCTTAGAGGCTAGAATTATCTCCCTGAACAGGTCAGACTCCCATCCTGTTCTCTCTTCCTCCCAGCTGAGGGTCTGGGGTACACAGTGGTCTCTAAAGGCACAAAGTCCCACCTCCCATAAATAAGAGCTCCCACCAAAGGGCAGGGTACTCACCCCACATTCCAGATCCCACCCTGACAAGCCTGCCCTACCAGACACCGTGATCTTAAGCAAACACTGCTCTTCACTAGAGGTCCACTTCCCCACTGCCCCAGTGAGGGGTCATCCCAGCCCAGACACTGAGGGGTTGGGCCACACCATATTCTCAGATGACTAGAATTGGGTTGTTGAACCAGCCCCATCTGAGTAGTAGCTTCTCTTTAAGAGAAACCCACCCAGTGCAGTGATCCTGGGGGTTTTTGGGAGTGAGAGGCATGGCCCTGGTTCACATGGAAGAGACTGCCAGTCCTTTCCCACTCGTCACAAAAGAAATCCTCGGATCTCAGTTCTGGGTCTGGTTCTCTGCCAGGCCTCAAGACATCAGGATAATGTAACCTTGGGCCCTGCCCTAAAGGAGTGCTCATAACCCAACGTCATAAAAAAGCAAAGGATGTTATGGGGGAGCCAGGGTCAGCCTGCTCCTGAGCTGAGTCTCAGGGCAAAGGAAGGAGAAGCGGCGAAGGCACCACAGGCCGAGATGACACACGGGGAAACGCTGCCAGGTATTGCTTATGCGGCAGGAAGAGATGGGCAGGACCTGGCAGCAGGAGCCAGGGAGAGGAACCAGATCTGACAATGTAAGTTACAGGTGACTCTTAGAAGATTTTAACAAATCAGGGGCTGGCAACTGCTCATGAGAAGGGGCCATAAGACCCTGGCACACCATAGCCTGGTGGCACTTCTCCACCCCCACTCTTGCTGCACTGTGGGCGCTCTGGACTCCCTCTAGAAGAGCTGGAGGCTGAGATCCAAGCAACTGGCTGAGGGCCTCCCTACTGGGACCCAGAGCTCAGCTCAGGCCAGGGAGCCTTCTAGGACATAGGAGGTGGCTGGCCAGTCAGACCAGACAGAGTCTCTGGGGGTGGCCATGTCCAAACGGCTTAGCATATGTGGGTGTAAGTACCTCTAGGGATGATGATATATCTGGATGTGTGAGTGGCTGTATTGGTCACCACAAGCTCCTGGTGAGTGACTATATATATCTGGGGAGGGGTGTGTCCACAGCTGTGTCATTGTGTCACGGTGGTGGTGATGGCTGTGGTGCTCCAGGTATAGGTGGCCAGTATGTGAGGGCGCCTGCTGGGCAGCCCAGCCTGTGCATTCTGTTTGGGGACATAAACTGGTAAAGCAAACTCAACCCTGAGCAGGTAGCCCTCAGCAAAACTGACACCCCAAACCTACAGTTGGGAATTCTTGCTCCCTGGCTCAGGAGAGCACTAGCTGGTCTTGCTCCCTGACAAGACCACTGGCCTGATGCACTGATATTCCAAGGGGGCCTTCAGCTGGAGCAAAGTGAGAGGGTGTGGGACCCCAGAATTGGCTGGGGTCCTGTGAACAAAGGCAGAAGCGTGGGGGAAGGTGTTCGGGAGTCCCAAAGTGCAGAGAGGAGAAAGGGAGATGCTGGAGATGATCAGGGAGAAACAGAAGCATGTACAGTCTTCCTAGCACCTCCAGGTGCTGGGAACAGGACTGCTCAGAGCTGGGGGCACTTCAGCCTTGCCCCACCTTCCACCCTTCCTCACTTGGTACCATATCAGTTTTGATAACAGCAGTCACTGGGCCACCTAGCTCTCTCTGACTGTGGAGCACCCACTCACATCTCCTTTCACTCACCCTGGAGCTTCTGAGCTCCTGTCAGATGAGTTTGGAGAGCATCAGACCCTTGGTTGAAGGGGACGCTGAGGTTCTGGTCAGAAGGAATGTGTTGAGAATGCTCAGCTGAAGCCAAGACTGTCTTATAAGTCCCCACCCCACCCCTGCAAGTTGTGGGAAAACTCGGAGAAGGGAGGCAGGAGCCAAGGCACTTCTCACATTGGGATCCCATATTGGACTGAGAGTAGGGATGAGGCCATTATGAGGGTGTGCCTCAGACAGGACTGGGTCAAACCTAATCTCTTCCAAGAGCTGCTTGTTCAGCAGGTGCCAACCTGGGTAGAGGTAAGGATCTCAGATTTGTTTCCCAAGAAGAGCCTAACCCCTAGCCTGAGGCAGGAGAGTGGATGACAGGACAGAAAGGGGCAACGGTCACAGTAGGTTATTGGGCCGGCAGGCCAGGGTAGAGCGCTCCCGATCCAGAACGGCTGGGCAAGAGAGCCACGTCTGGGAGGAGGCGCTGCCTGAAGCGTCCACCTTTCCCAGCCAGAACCCAAGCTTAGCCCACCCTGTGTTTCTCCTGTCGTTAGCAGACCCCCGGCTTCCGGACCCACAGTGCCAGAAGAGGTGGTGACGATGTTGTCACCATTCTTTGTTAACACACTCCCAAGGTCTTTCTCTGACCAATCAAGCCCTCTTAATACTCGGCGGCTAGCACGAGGCCAGTTCGCCGCCGCGTCCCGGCGCGGAGCTGGGCTGGGGCAGAGACGCGCGCTTACCCCTGAACGCAGAGGACCATGTCCTGGCAGCGGCAGCTGTTGCTCCGGAGCTGAGGCCCGGCCTGACGGCGGCAGCTGGAGTGAGCCAGTGGTCGCGGATCGCGCTCTCAGGGCTGGCTCCCGGGGCGCACGGGCGGCGGGCCCGGACTGAGAGGTGGCAGCTCGGGTGCGCAGGGAGGGCGCGGGGGGCGGGCCTGCAGGACGGGGCGGGGCGAACAGCCTAATCTTTTGTCCTCTGTGTCCCAGCCCTTCCCGGAAGCGACGTCTTCCTAGAACCGCCGGCTGTGCGGTCGGGCGACGAGGGGTGCGGGTCGGGGGCGCCGGCTCCCTTAGTCTGGGGCCGAGGGCGGCTAAAGGAAACACCTTTGACAGATTTCCAAGAACTTTCCAGGAAAATGGGGCGGGGCCCTGCGCGCCGACCAGTCGCAGTGCAGGAGGTGGGGCCGAGTAGTCAGGGAGGGCCAATTAGAGCCCTTGGATCCGAGGTTGACGTGAGCCAAGAGGATTGGGCGTGACCTAGAGACCAACCGGTGAAAACCAAGTTGAATAGGGCTAGGGAGAGGCCGGTGCTCTACCTACTTGAGTTCAGATTTCCTTCGGGGCACTCTGCTTCGTTAGCGACAGGCCCGCTTATCTCTGGATAGGACCGGTGGCAGCACG